AAGCAATTGAAAAACGTTCATCTCGCCGGACTCTTTTTAGCATTTCCAGAATCGATCGATGTACTTTTTCTTGTTGAACTAACAGTTCCCAGGTGACAACACCAAAGTGAAACATACAAAAATCGCAAGAATCGCCAAAGAATTGAAATAAAGATATGACCTCGTAAAGAATTTTCTAGGAAAATGCGTGTTTTGCGTGTTGTAAAAATGATATAAATTAGTGAAAGAATTGTTTTAATCCATCCAATCATCGGGTCACCAACATCCCATAATGGTTGAACCAAATGGCTTTTTGATTTTTGCCTAAAGGGATTGGCTACAAGCCTGATTCTTGCAGGCATTCTGATAATTTTTTCGCTTTAACTGTGATCCAACTCACATTGGCTGATTCTCTTCCTTTGCTTCCCTTTCCGCTGCTTTTATCTTTCTTGCTACAATTTAGGGCTCTCTTTTTGAATGTTTGCTGTACACGAACGACTCAGCTTTCTTTTTGTCAGACGCCAATCACGATCTGAATCCACTTTTTCACTTGGAACCTTTTTGAAACCTGACCGCCCTGGGACTGTAATGACGGTTTTTTCACTTTAGAACGCAGAACCCAGAGATCTTTTATTTTTTGATAATCAGCACCGAGATTTTTGTGAAAGTGCATGAAAACTAAAGTTCAATACATTTAAAATTCTGTGGATGAGAATCTTAAACCTTCTTAAACTTTGAATACTATCACGGTACTTTCGGGATCTTAATGTTCCATGAGGTCGGACAAAAGGGAGAATTTATTTTTCAAGAGATCGCTCTGATTTCAGCTTTTTCATCGATGTTTCAGTCTGAAACCGATCTTTTAGTGATTCTGGGGGAGTTTTTTTGCCAGCGTCACCTGCATACGCTGGGATTTTATAGCACAAAATTCTTGGAATTGGTTCAGAATCTGAAAGGTCCAATCCAACCTCACCTTTCTCTCACTCAGCCATTTTGTTGGCGGTCGTTCTTGAGGACTCACGCGCGCATCCTTCTCATGATTTCTACAACCGTAAGAAATCTATTTAGTTTTTCGATCCATTTAATCTGTTGGGCTGTCCACAAGTGATGCGTGTTTTGACACGATTTTCAAAATATCACACAATTAACAAAAGAGAACTTTATTAATCAATATATTCTCCACAACAATCAACAACATTTCTCCATCGTCCTAGCAAAGAGTGAAGTCCGTCATAATAGCATGAAGCTGGTTTCGATGAGAAGAAATCGTCCAGCCATTTTTGCACCTCGTCAACACTTTTGACTCGTTTCCGTCCGCAAATCGTTTAAACCAGCGCTGGCACTGGCTGATTGAAATTGAATCCTCTCCAAATGCGGCACAGATAGTTCGATGGCAATCCGCCGCAGTTTTACCTCGTTTGAAATCATACAGCATTGATGCGCGGACAACAAACTTTTTGCCTTTCATCTGCAAAACAACATATCTATCATAAAACAAAGGCGAATGAATAAAATAATATATAAAAATAAACACAAGATGCCGATGATTAAAAAGAGCATATATTTGCTCGAAGCGATTTTGCAATAGTTTCGAAATAAGTAACACGCATTACTTATTGGACAACCTAATATGTATCTCTTAAAACTGTACTTTTCTTAGACCTTGAATGACTATCAATCAAATGAATCCAAATCGTAGAGAATCTCACCCCGAGATCACTTCCTGAATGGATGAATGTGTCTCATCAAGCGGCAATCTTTCCCCATTCCCCACTCTTTCCAACACATCATCGTTATCAATTGCCAGATTTTTAGCATTGCTGTCAAGATATGGATGTCTATAATGAAAAAGTTATAGGGTGACCTATAATTGTGGGGATAATTCCGTATAATATAGTAAGGCATAAGGCCCTACCTTAGTGGCAATGGGATACGTGTCTATTATTATTAAATATCTCGCTCCCCAAAGTTTGCACTGAGCAGAAAAGGAACTCAAAAATTAAATTTAGACATTCCAACAAAACGGGGCTTCAGGGCACAAAGCCAAGAAAGTCCAAGCTTTGTGTAAAGTGAAGTTTCCCGATTTCATATCTTTTTCTGAATGGCCACTCAGCTCGCCGGATCTCAATCCGATGGATTATTCTGTCTAGTCTAGTGATTTGCACCTAAAATAATAAGCCACTCTATAGATAACTTGAAATCTCTGCAAACTTTCTGAAGATGAGTTGCCACAGAATCATCCCCACACTGTACATGGCATCTCGATGATCGGCGAAGTGAATCGACTGAATTGATGAATTTTTGATTTCTCAAAAGTGTAGCAATGCTGTGCAATTAAGGCAAACCTTCAGTTTTTTCATTTCCCAATCATTCATTCATTATTTCATTTGATTTTTCACAAAATTTGCTCACCGGATTTGGCGCAATGAAGCTGACTGTTCCCGCCAGTCTTACCACAGTTTCTTCCCAGGCTGAGATGCCGAAATCACAGACGCGAATCTCACGGTATTTGTCGAACATCAGAATACTGAAATTGTGTCAACTCCATCATTTTCCCTGATCTCACTTGAGAGGCTTGAGATCCCGATGAACGAGCTCTTTTTCTTTCAAGTAGAGCAACACCGAGGCCAATTGCTCCATCCAAAGGACGATATGAGAGATGTTGTAAAGTGTATACACTTCCCAGCCCATAATCACTATAGAGATTTTATTTACAATTCATTTTACTGAAGTTTTTCAGTGATGGTAGTTTTAGTTTTTCAGTGTTTTCAGTAGCAAAAATTCTAGCGTTATATTCTGACTCATTCACAGTAAAAAGATAAAGTCTGACAGTTCTACAGAAAGCCCAAAGTCACAATGTAAGCAAAAATTCAAGATATGGGTTTAACGATAAGTCTAACTGACATTATTGTGAACTTTGAACCATTCTGATTTATCCAGAACCTTGTGCAAAAGAAAAAAAAACTTCAAATCCAATGATACAAAGAAATTACGAAATCACCATGATAAAGCGTTCCCAAATAGCACAACTCGAGTGCCAAACCTTTCGGCGAATCATTCTCATCAAAAATGACTCCGAGTATCTGGAGGCTTCGACTACATTTAGAGTTTATTCAAATCTTACCTCAACAATAAACTTGGAATCTTTGACATGTCTATGCTTAATTGCTTCTTGGAGAATCTCCTTCGGATCCTCCATCATTTTTATGGCCACATCTTGGCTAAATTCTAATCCTGACAAGTGAATTTTGGCAATATTTCCTGCAACTTTTAGAAAGCTTTATTTTAAAACCTACTTGTTCAACTTATTGTAGGAAACTTTCCGAAAACCGCCAGCCTGAATATCGAGCTTCTTCTCGAATTCATTTAGGCGGAAATAAAAATCTGAAAGAGCTTCAGGAATCATTTTAGAAAAGTAAATGCCAGACTGGAGAGCTTATCAGTAAATCAATTTTTCTCAGCTTTTAACCTAATTTTCACTTCTTTTATACCATCAGAATGGTTCAAGGTTCACAATGATGTCAGCTGGACTTATCGTTAAACCCATATCTTGGGTTTTTGCTTACATTGTGCCTTTGGGCTTTCTGTGGAACCGTCAGACTTTGTATTTTACTGCGCACCCTCATCCTTCTCATGAGCCCAACAACTGAAACAAATCTATCGGTTTATCGATCTATTTAGTCTCTATATTTCTTAAAATTGTACTTTTCTTAAACTTTGAATGACTTTGAATCAATCAAATCAATCGAAATGTATTCAATCGAAATTTGCTTTATCAGAAGACAATTAAAACTTTATTGCTGCAAAAACCTTCGAAAGTTTTTTTGAAGTGGCGATTTTATGGCGAGGAAATTGGTTTCCCTACGTCAGCGAGGAAATGGGTTTCCCTTTTAGGCCTAGTCATATTTTCTTCATAAGGCTCGATCAAACTGAAATCAGAACAAATTTCTGAAGAAAACTCGTCAAATATCTGCTCAAATATCACTATTTATTGAATAAATCTTTGGATCTCGGCTAGAAAAATGTCAAGGCAAAATGGTCTCCCATTCTGCTGCAGGCATAGTGGTATCAAATTAGGAGGACACCACCTTAAATGTCTCAAAAATATATCTCATTTACAATTACACATCAAAACCGTTGATATTTAATGCTAATAACAGAGAAAATCATTCTGAAATCTGAATATTCATCTTCAATTCATTTATGGCCTCGTTCCCAGCTTGCTCGTCTCAAATCTCGTCTCCCACTATCATTCCTTCCAAACGAATTGAAGAGATCTGCATTGAAATACAGATTGATACAAAGGACGACGAACATTTGGTATTACAACTAAACGATCGCTTTTATGATAATGGTCAACCCATATCATTTATGGTCAGAAAAGTAAAGAAAAAGCTAAGAAAAAACAACAAGCAAAAAAATCAAAGAAAACTTGAATCTCGGCGTTGTTAGCCGATTCAAAAAACACGTTATTGCGCTCATTTCAACGATTCAATCTTTTGAATTGTTGTACATCACACTGATCCCTAACTCGATAAATCAAAACATCGAAGTCCTAATCAATTTATTCGTAAAAAGGAAACTTTAGGGAGTCAAGCATGTGGCTAACTTTTGCTTCAAAGTTTCATAGGGTTTTAAAGCAATAGATGCTTGCCTAAATCGTAGCTTTTTTCCACGAGATGATGGTATTTGATTTTTGAGGAGGATCGACGAGTAAAATGGAGAGAATAGTCGTTTTGAACCGATACTTTTTGGATAAACGTTCAATGATATCTTGAAATCACAATTGAAAACGAGAAAATGCTTTTGTTTTTGGAAAATTTGCAAATTTGACAAACCTTTTTCTACTTCTTTCAAATCAAAGATTCGGTACTCTTTACTCGAAAAAAATATTTCAGCTGCAAATTGATGTAAAGCTTATTTCAAAAACTTTATCCAGCAGGTGTCTGAAGTGGCATCATTAGACATTGGTTTCATACAACAAATTAAGGTTACACCACAACTTCGATTGTGATTTCACCATGAAAGACTCTCTGAGCACCACAGCAATTGCGGCTTTTCGTCTCTACAATTTGGTCATGATCTCTCTATCGAGTTGTTTCTGTTTTGCCGGTCTTTATGTGCTATTGACTGAAAAATTGAAAGATGCCCGTGCACATACGATTTATTTAGTCGTTACTCATGTGGGTTAAACTAAAAAGTGCTTCTATTAAAGAATATATTTTCTAAAACCTGTCAACTTTGGTATATTTAACGTAATCTCTTTATTTTTACTCGATCTTGTTTTCCAGATAATTGTTTACGCAATGGAAGTCGACATTGTGCTAACAAACCCGATTGGTCATCTCCCGAATGTGGCAATTGTTGTGCAAGGAGTTTGGCTAGATTTACCGATCAACTCTATCATTTTTCTTGTAAGGATGTTCAAGAATGCTTTCAAAACTCATAATTTTCTAGGTTTTCTAGGTTCTCCACATGTTTCTTTTCATTAGTGCCTGTATATTGCAATTGCAATGCATTTTCTTTCGTCTCTACTTGATCTGTGGGCAAAGAATTGGGTTAGTTAGAAAAAGAGATCAAAAAGTGACATTGTAAAAATCATCCAGCAAGGAAAAGAAATGAGATTTAGTAAATTTAAGATTTATAAAATGAATCCATTTACTTTTATTACCTACCACAACAATTATTTATTCTCTACAAAAGATACAAAACATGTGAATTAAACAGAACAAAAAAAAATCTGTGCCTAAAAAAGGAAATGAGCTCACAAGAACAAAATCCATATCTAAAAATGAATCCATTTACTTTTATTACCTACCACAACAATTATTTCCAGTTCATATTCCCTCAAGGAGACCCTCAAGGAGACTTTTCGAAAAACTACTTTATATATGTTTTATTGGAATTATCTTCTTTAAAATATCTACTTCACATTGGCAACTTTTGACTGGAAATGTTTAAGGGTAGCAGAAAAATCTGGTTCCCAGAAGCTTATAGTCCAAATCGACGGATTGTAAACAAAAGCCTTCTGCTTGAAGCTCAACCATTAGATCGGGATGAAACTTTGCCCAAAGCTAAACCGTCTAATTATCATTTATAAAAAGCTATGGTTTGCTCTTTGATGAAACAAAAAAACAACAGAGCTTATTAAAAATTTTTACTCAACCTACCTAATATTAGCTAGCTAGTTAGAAAAAGAGATCAAAAAGTGACATTGTAAAAATCATCCAGCAAGGAAAAGAAATGAGATTTAGTAAATTTAAGATTTATAAAATGAATCCATTTACTTTTATTACCTACCACAACAATTATTTATTCTCTACAAAAGATACAAAACATGTGAATCAAACAAAACAAAAAAAAAATCTGTGCGAAAAAAGGAAATGAGCTCACAAGAACAACATCCTCAAGGAGATCCATATCTAAAAATGAATCCATTTACTTTTATTACCTACCACAACAATTATTTCCAGTTCATATTCCCTCAAGGAGACCCATTTTCATTATTATCAATTATTTTGGTGGCCTTTTTTAACGCCATTTCTCTTTCTCATCTCAATGATGAATGTCGATAAAAGCGCTATTCCGATCATTGATCCAGTAAGTGATTTTTGTTTTGTATTGTTGTTGTTATTGTTGCGATTATTGTACAGCTAAAACGTTCAGAACTATGCAGAACTAATCCCATCAAATGTTCTCTATTTCAATGATGATCTCAACATCTACTTCAGATATTTTCTTGGCGTATACGCATTGTATAGTGTCGTTTTCTTCTTTTTTGTGCATATATGTCTGTACAAGTGAGGGAATAAGCAAAAAAAAGGATTGTTACCTACAAAAAGCCCATGTCAATGTTTTACCTACTCTAACATCCGACGAATTTTTCAGAATCTCATTCGCACTTGATCACAATCACTCGTACAGTCAACGCACAAAGGATCTTCATCGAAAAGCCATCTATTCCACAACGTTTATGGTGTGTTTTTTTTATTTTGAGAACTTTAGAAAGAGTCGTTTTACAGTTACTTTTTAGGTTTTCCCTCAAATGATCGCAATCAGTACTATCGTTTTATCGATCACTATATTATTTGTACAGTCGAACCTCTCTATAACAAAACTCGATATAACGTAAACCTCTATATAACGTAAGGCGTGACCGGTCCCGGCTGACGTTAAGCTATATAAAACGGTACTCTATATAACGTAAACCTCTATATAACGTAAGCTATAGCCGTCCCGTGAGTTACGTTATAGAGAGGTTCGACTGTATTTCAATTAGCTGAATTTGACGTTAATTTTCCTTTTTGAGGTGATAATTTGAAGAATTCGCTAGTTTTATTCTTGTCTTCAGTAATGGATCGAGTTGTGCCTTGTTTTTTCAATGGCCATTCGGTGGTTATGAGAATGAACACTTTATATCCACGAGTTAAATTGCTAGTGAAAGGATATTATTCACTGCTTTTTCGAAAAGTTCATGTTGATCGAAGCACAACAATGCAAGTGATCGAGAAGAAAGTCGAAGTTTTACCCGCAAAGCGGTAGCAGCATTTATAAAGGATACAGTCGACTCTCTCTATAACGAAATTGAAGGGACCAAAAATTTTTTCCATTTTTTAATGCAAATTTGCTTTTGGCATGCAAATTAATATTCATATTTGGCATATTTTCTTCTTTGAAAGTTCTTCAAAGCCGACCAAGTTATCGTAAAATTCAGAGGTGAACTTATAATTATGTGGAGCAGTGTATATATAAAAGAGCAGTGTCCGTCTGTCCGTCTGTACGGGCTTTTTCTTAGTCGTCTTTGGGCCAAAAAAAACACTGAAATTATTTAAGAAACCTTAAAGTACAATATAGTTGTGCCATTTCAAATCAAAAAAAATTAAAAAATCAGGATTTGGTGAGACTAGGGGAATGTAAGAAATATATGTTTATGATTTGATCTATATAATTTCTTGTGATACCGTGTCTCGGTGTGGTTCAATAGTGGTCGTCTTGAAAGCGCACAATTTATCAAACTTTCACTTATTAGGGCAAACTTCGCTCAAACTTCGAACGCTCAAACTGTCAGGTTGCTCAATTCGAGCAGCCTGACACTATCACAATTAATTCAACACTTGCATGTGAAAAAAAGGAGAACGAAACTCACGCAAAGCTTAAATAACCGGTTTTTTAAGTATACAAGCTACAACAAACGGACAGCTGAATATGGTCTAGTGACTGATTACGGTAGTTTATCCATCAACTTTGAATTTTAACTTGTGTATTGAATTTTTGACTAACTGCAGAGCAGTGGCAATTCGCCACAGGGAAGTCAAATCCGCCTCGAAGTCGACCGTCGATATATTAGGTTGTTCAGAATATAAACGAGCGCTTCAGTAGTCGACAAAATTTATTTTTAAAAACAGAACAACTGATACAGTTTAATCCGAAAGTATATTTACTTTTATTATTGCCGATTACTTCTTCCTTACATCTTTTGCGCGAAGAATCGATGCCGGCCCCTTGAAAAATCCCAGCCGAATGCCGTGACGCGAAAAACCTGGTTACGACCCAATTTTGAGTGATCTTCACTGGTTTCGAATTTCTCATTAGCTGTGGTGGCTTCTGGGTTTTCGTGCATCGATCTTGAATAAAATGGTAAGTAGAGGGTTTCAAATCGGGGATAATAAGCGCGGATGTGGTAGGAAGCTCCCATCCTCGATTCTCCAGGTGTTTGCTGGAGTGATTTCTTTGCAACGTGGAGGTCTAGCTGTTGTCATTGGGATTGAACTTTATCTTCTTGATGTTCCTCCGGCCTTTGACGAACGGCGGGTTTCATTGAACTTGTAGGGATCTGGTTGCTGCTTTCAGAGGTCTCATTGTGACTTGGTTTCCATTTCGGGTTTTGTGGTAAGCCTGTAAAAATACACAAGGACCTTGTTATTCCACCATATTGAGAGTAGTAATGACCTTTCTTCTCCCTCGGCTAAAAATGTCCCGTTCTAATGATCGGATTTGACCATTACTTCTCCTGGTCCCCAAAGTTTTCATTGCTGTTTTCAAATAGTATTATCAGTGTGAAATAGATTCACTTCTCATCTCATGCAGTAATGAGAGAATCGAAAGTTCTTCTTGATCTTTAGCGGGGAGTGATGAGGATTTCCCCGGCAATAACGACCTGTGAAGCCTTGTTTCCACTCTGTCTGCTTAATTTGTGAGGAAGCCATTTCCCTGCATCTGATCGTTCTTTTCAGCGGTGTGGGAGATGCTCATCAATAATAGTACTTGAGGGGAGGGAAAACTGTTGAGCGCGCCCACTTGTCGTTCGAGCCATGGATCCGATTCGATTATGCGGCCCTCAGTAAAATATCGTTGTCTACCCTTGAGGTCGACCAGAGTGTTCGCCATCCTCGGTGACTTTTCATCAATTATTCCGGAGGCGGTTGTTCTCAGACTCGGCATCGGCTTTCGGACAATACAATTACTCTCAAATGCTAATTGCCTAAATCTCTCGATGGGATTCCCCGGCGGTTTTGCCTAGTTTGAAGTCGTAAAGTAGGCAGAGGGGAACTTATATGGGAAATGGATTTTCTAAAGCAAGAAAAACATTTCTTAAAAATAAGAAATTATCTGTTTTAAAAATTCCAAATATGCACAAGATAATACACTTTTGAAGAAAGAAAGACATGTTTTTTAAGTTTCCTTCCTCACAACAAAAATTTTAAAGCCACGCTTGTTGAAAGATCCTTCAACAACCAAATATAATTCAGATTGCCCGCTTCAGATTGC